TGGGGGTGCGGAGGGGAAGTATGGGAGCCAGGGACTGGGAGGAGGGGAAGCAGGAAGGGAGGCTGTGCAGGGTCCGCAGGACAGAGGATGGCAGAGGGGTTTCTCTTGTTAGGCTTCAGGCTGTGGGAGGAAGACCCTGCTCGCCTGCAGGCCTTTCCCCACCTTCCTGGGTGAGAATGGGGTGAGACCGGCTAGAGAAGCAGGGGTGCTGTTGTTCTGCCCTGAGGCCGGGAAGCGCAGGGCACGGTGGCCATGGTAACGTCCCCCGAGACAAGCTGCGGGGCACCTCAGCCATGCCCAGGGACTCCTTCCCCGCCCAGGGGAGCCCTGCCTCTTTCTGATGAAATCTGGGCCAGTGTGGGGGGGAAGCACACACTGTCTCTTCTCCTGGGGAGGGCTGTGGGGCTGGGCTACTGTTGGAGCCAGCCGGAGCTTTCCTCTTATGCTAAAACCAAACCGACAGCAAAACCAAAGGCATCTCTGGAGCCCTTTCTCTCCCAGGCCGGAGCACTGCTCTGCCCCGTAAGTCAGTAATCACACGGACGCGTGGGGCTTCTCAGTCATCCCAGCACCTGCCACACCAGCCTCAGACCTTTGGTGATTATACCACTGTGTACCCCAAAGGGTGGGGCGCTCCTGAGTCACACTGCCCCAGCTCCTTACTGGATCGTCACCCCACCTCCCTGGGCCTCCGTCTCTTCATCTGTAAAATGGGAATAAAATGAGGTCGTTCCGTGGAGATTGATTCGTGAGAGAGTGCTTGGAACAGTGCCTGTCTCTGCCAACATTTACTGCATACTTTCCGCAGCTGAGTTGGGTAGAATTAATTGTCCTTCTGCTGGCTTCCTCCCTTTGCCTCAGCATCTTCATCTGCAACATGTTAAGGATGATAGTAGCTTGTGGAGTTTATGCGAGACAAGGGATAAAGGGGTGCAGCATAGTGGTTGGCCCAGAGCGGGAGGCCGCTGGTCATTGCCAACAAGAACCAGGGCGGTGTGTCTCCAGGCTCGAGTGTCTGAGCCCCTGCAGGGTCTTGCTGCAATGCAGGTTCTGCCTCTGCCGCCAGTGTCGCTGGCCTGTGGACCACACTGAGAAGGGGGGCTCAGATGCCTCGGTTCCCCTGGTGTAGGATCCTGAGGGCAAAGGGTCAGTACTGCCTGCTGCAGTGTGGACGTGAAAGAGGTGCCATTCGGATGAGTGTCTCTTATCGGGGCTCGGGTTCTGCCTGTTACAATGACCCAATCACCCAATTCAGTTCAACAGACTCGCGTGAAGCTCCTGCTAAGTGTCAGGCATTTGCTGGGCACTAGGGAGGGACACTGAGGACCGCAAGGGCGTCACCATACGTGCTAGGAGCAAAGAAAGCACCGACTCAGAAGCAGCAGCGTCTAATTCTGGGGCTAGGGAAGGAAGAGGAGATACAGATGGAGCAGGATTTTTCCGGGTGTAGGAAAGATGGGGAAGTGGTCTGGACAAAAGGCAGGCTTATGTGGTCAAGAAGGCCCGAGAATGCTGTATTTGGGGCACAGCACGCTGCTTCGCTTAGCCCCTTTCACTGGTTGTTCCTGTCTTCACCTTTAGTCCCGTGGTTAGGAAGTGACTGCCCTTTCCTCTAAGACTCCCCAGCCCCTGTGGGGCAGGTTTTGGAGCCATGGCTGGAGTGGATCTTGGGTCTACAATCTACACCTGTAGATCAGTGCGCTCCAGTCGGGGGCCCCCGTCCCCATCCTGTGACTGACCCCTGACCCACCCATCCTGGGTTTCCTTTCAGCCACCGAAACCCCTTAGTCCGGAAATGCACTGCCGAGCACCTCTCAGCTGTCCTGGAGCAGATTGGCGCCGAGAAGCTTCTCTCTGGCAGCAGGGACAGCATCAACATGCTGGTCCACACGCTGGTGAGGCTGGCCCAGGACTCCAACCAGGACACCAGGTAGGCTGGGGCCAGGGTCTGGGGCAAGCAAGGCAACTGGCCAGCCCTGAGGACCAGACTCCCACTGCAGCGTCCCTGGGGTCCGCAGAGAGACAGAGATGGACAGAAGCCGAGTCCGTCCCTTGTCCCATCTCTCTCCAGTGTCGAGTGGCCAGCAGTGCCCCCCCGCCCCCACTCTTTCCCTGTCCTTCCCCCTCGACTTGATGTGACGCCATTCTTGTCTTCACCCACCCAGCCTCATTCTCTGCAAAGCCGCGCAAGCAATTTCTCAAGGTGTTGAATGAGCAATAATTTTGTTATTATAGATTCAGCGGGAAATAAGGACAATTAAGCCCTTGTTATCTTGGAGCTCACCTCGTAGCTCTGGGAGCCAGATAAATATTGTGATCCTTGTAGGGACTCCTAGGTAAGATGCTGAGAAGACGGAGTGGGGGACGGGGTGGGAGAGCTGGGAACCGACCAGCTGCACGGAGGAGGCCTCTCTCAGGACCAGGGTGCGTGGTCGAGGCAAAGGAAGTGGGACAACGGCTGTCGGGGCGGGGCGGGGACGACAGCTTGGTGCCCGAGGAAGACTGATGATGCCCGGGCTGGGGAGTTCTGTGGCAATCTAATGGGTACAAGGGACAGCTCATTGTTTTCACAGTCTTTTCCTCCAATTGCTGAGTCTGTTGTTTTGTTTTATTTCTTATGTTTTCAGTAAAAAAATCTCTCTGCTGTCTGCGGAGGGTTGATGGCGGGAGAAGGGCTGGGTGGAGGGGGACAGCAAGCAGACGACCACGGAAGTGTATGGCTTGGCTGTGCTGCGAAGGCACAGCCAAGGGCATACGGGTGGTGAGGGTTCCAAAGGCGAATGAAAGACGCTGCTTGGGTTTTTAAAGAGAACAACGGAGTGAATGTCGGGGCTGTTTACTGAAAGAGGGAGATGGGTGGAGAGGAAGCTTCTAAATTGTTTGTTTTCTGTACTTCTTGGTGGAGGGATGGAAGTCAAGACCTAATAGGACCCAGATTAATATCCCTCTCCTGTCTGAAGTCCCTCTTGCTTTGGATGATGCTATGTTTCATTTTCCTGTTTGGAAGCTGTGTGCATCCCAGTGTGGGTTCTGGCTCGCCGGGCCTCTCTGCCGTGCCTGCAGCCTGCATGGAGGTGGCGGTGGAGTGTCCTGAAGTCAGTCAGCCTCCTCCTTTCCTGGCTGTCACCTCTCTTGGCTCTAGCCATCAACAAACTTTGATGGTTCGTCATCTCTCTCCAGCCCAGACCCTTCTGCGAATGCCAGCCCCAAATCTCTCGTGTCTTTAGAGGACCTATCACCAAGTTCCATTGTTGACCTCCGTGCAGTGTCCCCAAAGACACTCATTGTGTTCACCCCAGGCCTGTTTCTCTGTGTTCCCACTGTTGTACAAAGTCTTCATTATTTACCAAGTCACCCAAGATGCAAGACAGGGACCCCTGTATGTCACCGAGCCTAAGATGCATTTTTCTTCACCCTGTAATTTCAAAATCGACTCGTGTCCTGTAGTCATTCGCGGTCACTGCCCTAGGCAGTGATTCTGATGGGTGCTGTACTATTTACACATTCGCAGACTCGGTTGTTGTTGTTCCTAGTGTAAACTTGAAATTAAATTTGTATCGTGGAAACTACGGTGCACCCCTTTCTTCGCTTGCCAACCTTTTGACTCATTTTCAGAAATCACTTTGGCTACTCTGCAGAGAACCGTTGAGTTTCTTTACAATTTTGAATGTCTTAGAAATATTATACTGTGTTTTGGCATCAAAACGAAGTTATTATGTGTGAGAGTTGGCATGGAAATAGAACAGTGTGACATAAATCAGACATCAAGGAAGCAAGTACTGTTGAAAGAATGACCAAAATCCCACACTTTATTGTAAAGCAACCGCCAAAACCTTTACCCAACCTACAGGAGAAGAAAATACCAGTAACACTTACATACCGGACATGGTGCAGGGTCCAGAAGGCGGTAGAAATTGCCAGCATTTTGTTGTTTGGTTTTTCTTTAGTGGAAAATAAAATAATGATGCATTTTACCATCAGTAGATTCTTAGGTTGGATGCAATCCAGTAATTCTAGGCGCTTCCTGCTCCTCTTCTCACCAGCTACAGATCCAGTCGTTCCAGTCCTGGTAGCAGCTCTTGAGTGCAGCTACCCTTTCTGATCCCATTCTTCGGCCGTATTTCAGGACTTCGTCTCTTGTCTGGACTGTGACGGTGGCTTCCTAACCGGACTCCTGGGCCCTAGCCTTGCCCCCACCACGCTGACTTTTTTCCTCAGCTCCCCAGCGCCTGCAGGCCCTAGTCCAACTCCTCCTTGGTCCCCGTATCTTCCCCTGCCTGTTCTCCAGCCACACCCCACTCCTGTGTTATGAGCCCGGAAAGGCCCTGCTCCCCTACCTGCTCCATAGCCCTGCCTTATTGTGACCTCCTACCCATCCTGCAAATCCCAATCCTAGAGTCACCTCCTCCGTAAACCCCATCTTGATCCCCTCCCCCAAGGACCACTGCACACCAGGTAGAGCTGACCACTGCCTCCTACACTGGACCATTGAATGCTTCCTCAGACTTCTGGATTCCCTGTACTAGAAAGAAGTCAGATCTGTGTCAGTGTAGCCAGTGAACAGAATATTGAGTAGTTAAATGGAAGCTTATAAAGAGTTTTAAATGGCACAGAGGGAAAATTAACAATAAAATGAAACGACTGAATACATGTCATACATACAATTCCACTATCAACTAAAATGTATGTGCATAGAAAATAGACTGTACAATTTTTCCTTTCAGTACTGGGGATTAAAACCAGCACTTTTAATTTTTTTTTTTTTAATTTGAGAGTCTTGCTAAGTTACTAAATATCCCGGGCTGGGCTTGAACTTGCAGTCCTCCTGCCTCAGCCTCCCAGACTACTAGGATCCCAGATACACACAAACATACCTGCCTGAAAATATGGAAACTTTTTTTTTTTTTGGTTTTTTGAGACAGGGTCACTATGTCTAGCCCAGGCTGGCCTTGAACTCATGGTTATCCTCCTGTCTCAGCCTC